AGGGGCTCCGCTCGGCCAGCCCCGGCGGCGGGTCTCCTGCTGCTGCGGCCACGGACGGCGGCGCCAGGGCTCACATCGCCAACCTTGACAAGGTGCTCGGGAAGCCGCCGCAGGTGCCGAGGCCCGCCGCGACCGCGAGCAACAAGCAGGGGCAGGGGCAGGACGGCGAGCAGGAGCCGCTCAGCGTCAGGCACGGCCTGCTGAACGCGCTGAACCTGTCCTTCTTCGTGCCCATGCCCGGGATGCGGGCGCGGACAGCCGCCGACGAGCACATGTCGCCGCGGAGTCTCATGCACATGCAGCAGCTCCTCTCGGCAGACTCCCCGCGGGCCTCGCCGAGGTGCACCATCGCGCCGCGGTGGCGCAGGCTCCACGGTGAGGGCGGCTGGGAGGGCCTCCTCGACCCGCTGGACTCCGACCTCCGCCGGGAGCTGCTCCGGTATGGCGACTTCGTGCAGGCCGCGTACCAGGCGTTCCACTCGCTGCCCACCGCGTCGGCGAGGCACCGCGGGCTGATGCTCCCCGACCGCTCCTACCGCCCCACGCGCAGCCTCTTCGCCACCTCCGCGCTGTCCATGCCGCCGTGGGCCAAGCGCCCCAACACGCCCGAGTGGCTCACGCAGCAGTCCAACTGGGTCGGCTACGTCGCCGTCTGCGAGTCGGAGCGGGAGGTCGCCCGCATGGGACGCCGCGACATCGCCATCGTGCTGCGCGGCACCGCCACCTGCCTCGAGTGGGCGGAGAACCTCCGCGCCTCGCTGGTGCCCCTCGACGGCGACAGCAGCGACGGCGCCGACATGCCGGGAGCGGAGGAGCCCAAGGTGGCGCGGGGCTTCCTGAGCCTGTACAAGACGGCCGGGGAGAAGGTCAAGAGCCTGTCGGAGGAGGTGATGGACGAGGTGCGGCGCCTCATGGACAAGTACAAGGGCGAGGAGCTCAGCATCACGATCGTCGGACACAGCCTCGGCGCCGCCCTGGCGCTCCTCGTGGCCGACGAGGTCGCCACGTCCATCCCCGACGCGCCCCCCGTCGCCGTGGTCTCCTTCGGGGGCCCCAAGGTGGGCAACGCCGCGTTCGTCGATAGGCTCACCAGCAGCGGCAAGGTCAACGTCCTGCGCATCGTCAACGCCGGCGACGTCGTCACCAAGGTGCCCGGGGTGGCGCCGCGGCTGCCGCACAAGAAGGAGCAGTACCAGCACGTGGGCGCGGAGCTCCGGATCGACAGCAAGAACTCGCCGTGCCTCCGACCGGACGCGGGGCCCGCGTGCCGCCACGACCTGGAGGCGTACCTGCACCTCATCGACGGGTTCACGGGGACGGGGCACCCGTTTCGGCACGACGCGCGCCGCAGCGTGATCCGCCTCCTGCAGCTGCAGAGGGGCAACGTCAAGAAGGAGTACGTGAACCGTGCGCGCGAGCTCGGCGTCGACCCCGCCGCGCCGGCGGACGTCGGCCGTAGCATGGCGTACGGCAACTGCGCCGTCGCGAGCCCCTCGTGAGGGATCAAATTATTATTACGTCTCCTTCGGTGGACCGTCTTGTAAATTTTGTAGGAGAAAGAAGAATTATTTCGTTAGTTGCGGGTGCGAGCCGGGAAAGATGAAGATCTCCCATTTTCCGTTTCGTTTCGTTTTGACATCGACGCATGTGTACAGGGAAAAAAAATCAAGCAAGCGCAAGTGCGCGCGCAGCACAATCAATAAGTGAAAGCGTGACCTTGAATCCTTGACGTGTTCTTTGCCGCACTAAAAAAAATACCCTTATATACGATGGTTTATTTTGATTAGACAAGTGAAAATACGTCACAGTTAACTCAACATGACGATCAAAAAAAACGTCATGTACCCCGCGTCATACATTTGTTAGCCCAAATTAAGCCGTCATAGATTGACATTTGAGTTCGTCATGGATTAGTTATCCATCTATTATAACAAGCCCAGATCCAACCATAGTGACGAAAAAGAACATCACATATTAGTGCGAAATCATCATTGCATTAACATGCAGCACATCTTATAATACACCAATCATACAAACAAACATTGATTCTTTCATTTATTGACATGTCTACTATTGTCACATATAGTTTGAGTACAATCAATTCACAGCCATCTGAACTAAGATTTCATCTCTAGAGAGTCTAAAATAAACAAACAGTAGTATCCATGATTTCACGAGTACTTCAATTGGCTTACGGTCCATATGATGTGCTACCAAGCAAACTTCAGAAGCTTCCTGAAAATCAATATGAATATGAAATGAGTTAGTTTTGAGCCAAGATTCTAAAAACAAATGCCATCTATTTATTATGATCCTAGTGGAAGACAAAAACAATCAAAGTAGACTGTTCTAGGATTGCACTCGTCAAAATCTGTGTTAACTAATAAAACTTATGGTTGTAGCTTCTAGGATTGCACTAGTCAAAATCTGTGCTAACTAATAAAACTGATGGTTGGATCAGTGTACTCTTAAAGTGGTCCAAGCAATCTCTGATGGCCTTCTCAATGTTTCTAATGTTTGTAATTAGAGTCGACGTATCCAGATGTGGTTTGAACTTTGCTAATATCTCAGCTTGTGCAAAATTACTAATCAGATAGGAAGTTGCAGTATAATATCAGCTTAGATGTAGTTTCTCTTATCCCCACCAGTGTTTAATCAAAATCACAAAGCTACCATAAAATAAGTAATATAGGAGTATGTAAGCCACAACTCATGTAAAATGAGCTGTGGACAGCATATGCTCAAAAGGATATTTGGGACTAACAGGACAAAGCTATGTTAGTAAACTCTGTTTGAACTGTTTATGCATCGAAGATACCTCTTCTTTTGAGTGAACATGAGACTTGTGAGTTCCATTCAACTGCTTTGCATTTTTGCCATAGTCGTTGGCCAACACAGATATAAAGCTTGCGCAGTGTGTTCCTCCTGAACAGAAATATCACGGAAACACCCTTCTTGTTCAAATAACTAACTATATCTTCAGGATTTTTCAAGATTCCCTAGAAAACATAATGTTGGAAGTTATAGCCAGGCACATATTTAACATATGGTAGGCATAAGCATAATTCCAATCATTCTAATAAAAATGACTAGGGCAAGTTTCAACATGGATCGTAATTGTTAAGTGTCAACGAGCTTGGATGGTGAATTTTGCTTAGCACAGAGTTTTAACTTTTCAGAACTACAACCTGTAGGCATGTTAGTACTTGGCAGTTGGCACATAGCCACATAGGCCAAAGCTTTGAGAAAAAACATCCATATATGCAGTATGATTAGTTGAATCATAGCTATAATTCTTGCAGAATTCAAACTTTGGTAAGGAAAATAGATCATATAAAGGACTACAACCTGTAGGCATGTTAGTACTTGGCAGTTGGCACATAGCCACATAGGCAGTAACAGTAATAATTCATCTAAAGCTAGAGATCAGATGCATAATGGAGCCGATAGCTAGACAAGATAGTAACAAGCACCTCCCAGAAGCACTTTGGTCAGACATTCATATCTGAATAAACAATGAATTTATGAAATAGGTGTGCTCCATGCAATTGACGGCTACAATAATTATAAGTATACGCAAAACTAGATCCCAAATCAATATACCCAAAACTACGACAACTAAAAATTCAAGGAGAAGACCACAAATATAACAGCGTCCCAACACTAACATGGATCTAAGAGGCAACCCTAACCCCAGATCTCCAATCAATATACCTTAATTCGATTCACGCATTAGTGCTATGCATCGAAATCATGACAACCTAAGCGCTGCCAAGACAAAGATGGCTATGGCGCGCAACAGACGCCCAATGGCTCGGAGAGGAAGCAAGTGAGGCAGCGACCGAGAGATCTGGACTACTCATACCTTGATGCCGCCGTCATTCATAGATCGACGCAGCCCTAGCGGACGATGACCCACATCCTCCTCCACGAGATCCGACAACCATATCACTAGGGCGTCATCGCATCGAGGCCGTCCTGTTGCTCGCGCGGCGGCATCGGCTGCCCGTGCCTCGAGGCTCGTCGGGTTTTGGAGGGTCGCGACCTGCTGCCCACCGGGGCGCGACCCTCGCCCAATGGGGGTGCGGCCTCTAGCCTACTGGGACGCGGCCTCCTGCTTGGATCCGACGCCGACAGGGAAGGGGGTGAACGATGGATGCAGGTGGCGGCGGATGGAAAGGCGGTGCGGTACATGAATACGTGTGGATATGGGAGGGAGGCTAGTGGATTAGGTTTAGGAATTTGCTTTCCTTTATAATTTTTTATTACCCACAAGTCCGTCATAGATTTACCATAGAGTTGACTAAATAATCTGTGAGGTCCAACCATGACGACAACTTAACCAATCGTCGTAGATATATCACCTCAAGAATGAACCATCACAGATGATAACATTCTATGATGATTTTTTAAAAGGTCACTGGTGAACCGTCATGTACAAGGATATTTTCTGTAGTGCCAGTTGCCACTTGCCATTGTGAAATGTTCAATGCACAATGCTTCAGTTGCCACTTGTTTAGATGTGCAACAAGATCACATCAGTGCTTGTGTTTCAAGATTTTTCTCACCAACTTTAGCCATCCAGGTTAGCTCTCCAGCCTCAAGGTAACCTCGCCCAGCAAGGTGAGGGTAGCAACAAAACTAAACATATCTTTAGTTTTGTCCTAAATTAATTTATATTTTTTATATAGCTTCTATTTTACACTTAAATATACATTATATTTAATACATACCATAAAGTGTTTAGAAAAGACTTAGCTGTTCGGCGCGGTGGTTTTTGCGGCTGGTAAACCGATTAAAGCTGATTTGTTGTGAGAGAAAAATAATATTTCATGATTGATAAGACATGTTGATAAGTTCCAGCCATACAGTAGATTCCAGTATTCCACATGTCTCGTTGGACCTATGCAGCCACCAGCCAGGGCCCACAGACGTCCGACTACTTTGCCCACGGCAGAGTGCTAGCAGTGGCACCAAGCTCGTTCCCCCGACTGTCCCCAATGCGCAGTCCACGAGGCCTCCTCGCCGCCTCCGGCTACCTTGCGGGCCGACACGCTCCGTCGACCTCCGTATCCACCACTGGCCACCACTCCCTATTCGCCCGCACCTTCCAAATCCTAGCCCAGCCGGAGCCCGTCCGTCTCCAGAAGCTCCCGGCACCCAACTCCGGTCTGTGAACCTGCCACCTAGAAGACACTGTCGCCTCTTAATTTATTATTTTTTTGGTAGCCTTTTAAAATTCCTCCTTTTGATTATTCTTTGTCCTGGGTCCCGGTTCAGGGATCTTAGAGCTGAGGCTGGAGCGGCCGGAGGTCAAGAACGCCATTAATTGGGATGTGATGAGGAGGCTGCGGAGCGCCATAGAGAAGATTCAGGCCGATACGACGGCGAAGGTCGTCCTTGTTGCGAGCTCCGTGCCGGGGGCTTTCTGTGCAGGCGCCGATCTCAAGGTCTGGACTATTCAGCTTGGTTAGATGGGTTTAGCCGCTTGGATGTTGGGACACAGTTAAATGAACATGAGTTTCGATTTGAGTAGAAGACAGGCAAAAATGGTTTAGGTGCATGTGCGTATTCCAGATTAGTTATTGATGATTAAAGAGCAGCTGCGAAATGCTATCAGCAGAATTGATTGGTGAACTTTGCGCAATGCTGATATTGATGTTCAGAAATATTGTGTCTTAGATTTAATTGTTAATAAGAAAAGGAATGGTTGGAGTGGTGTGAAGTGGAGTGGGGAAAAGAAAGACTCAAGGCTAAGCCAACACATAGAAGAGTCGGTATCTTGAGGTGCGTCTAAGTATATGAGACAAAGGTTGGGGCATGTTTTGATAGACAATTTCTTTTGCAAAGAATGCTTGAAGGACAACTCTAGAAACTCTAGGGTCTATGATTAGTAAAGACTAGAGTGTGTGGCTTAAAGAGGAACAACCATGACCCCTCATATATATGTTGAACTACTATTATTCCACATGTGATTGTGATTGCTCTAGATATGATTGTATATAGTTTTGGTATGCACTAAATAAAGTAATTTATATCGGGAACCAATGGAAGTTAATCTAGAAATCTTTAATATTTTGTTTCTTTGATGGCTGTTCTATTTCTGAAACTCTTAACTTTTAACAGTGACTAATTGTTTCTACTATTTCTGATTATTTCCTATTTTTTGAAACATTATGTATAGCATCCTTAAAATGTTCCTTACAATTTAATCATGGATATGTCCCACAGGCCCACCAAGTGACCAAACTCAGGTCGGATGCTTTTTTATCTTTGAGAATTAATAATTTGTAGCATATCTTTTCTATTAGCAGCTATAGAATGATTGCCGTAAGCCTTAATTATGTAGTGACATCAGAGTACTGCTAAAAGGATCATTTTTGCACACTGCGCTATGACATTGATTTCTCAACCAATTTGTTTGACATATCATAATTAATACAGTAATACTTGCCTCCTTGCCTCTGTCCCTTGTTTTGACCTTTAGATCAGTTCAAGAATGAAGAACATCATATTCACTGTATAATGACTAATGAAACGACAAGGGTCGCATCTCAGAGCAATACTATTGTTAGCAGGAAAGGAGGCTAATGAAATCTTCTGACGTTGGGGAGTATGCTAGATCCTTGAGATCTACATTTTCATCTTTTGAGGTTTGCACCTGGAACTCAAGTTTAATGTGCCCTTTTGCATTTGTAACATTAAATCAACAAAATGGGTAATGGGTAAACATACAACTACGCGCATCTTTATACAAGTTGCTCCATGACTCATTTGTCTTATCATTGGCCATAGTTATTTGATGTACATATCAGCATATGTTGTTCTCACAGTACTTACAAATCACAGTTTGTTTCAATAGGCACTCCCTATTCCAACAATTGCTGTCATTGAAGGAGCTGCCCTTGGTGGTGGGCTAGAACTGGCTTTGGCATGCGATCTCCGTATATGTGGTGGTGCCTTTGTTCTGGAGTATTACAAAATTCTGTCCATCCTACAGGATAACTATTTCCTGTTGTTTTGGTTATTTAAATGCATACCTACACTCTGTGCAGGGGAAAATGCTGAACTTGGACTGCCAGAAACAGGCCTTGCTATTATACCTGGGTATGGAAATATATAACCTACACAACCTACACTGTGTTTTACTTTTATAGTTTTATATACGATTTTTCAAGGAAATGTCAAGATGCTCTGAAACAAAATAGCCTGAAATACATAGGGTGTCCCCAGCCTGGTGCATTTTTTAGTCTTGAATTGTGACGTGATAAATCTAGCCGTAACTGGATGTGATTTCATAGAAAATAAACTGCTGGCTTCGATAGGGGGCAACTAACCATATCCTGAAATATGACGTTACTGCTCAGGAAGACTTAGCCAACATTATGCCTGGAGACTGACCTTGTCGTTAGCGTAGATTTATTCACTTCTTTGACGTGGCTGGCAAAAGTTTGACACAGATTCAAGCATAAGGAACTTGTAGAAGTAAGCATCTACATCAACTTTAAGTACCTTGCAAATAGTCGATTTGCTATGTCGATGCTGAAAAGGCGAAACCGACAAGCAGGACTTTACATGATGTGTTTACTTTTCTAGAATCAAAATTTGATAGTGGTTTTCTTTGTCATGATAGAACTTTCCCACTGCATGTTTTGACTATAGTAATTGTGCATGCATTTCTTGATGTACTCAACATCGAAAAGTGCACAGAACCTAACCAAAACTACCAGAGTAATCTGCTTCGGTGAAATAACTTCCGTTTGCTTCACTATACAGAGCTGGAGGTACACAACGCCTTCCTAGGATCGTCGGGAGGTCCAGAGCAAAGGAACTGATATTCACTGGCCGCAGATGTGGTGCAGCTGAAGCTGTAACGATGGGTAATGCTAGCCTTGTTAGTTGTTACCTATTTTACCTACTGATTACTTACTGCAACGGCTCTTCAATGTGTGTTTGCGTTTCAGGACTAGCAAACTATTGTGTTCCAGCAGGGGAGGCTTACCAGAAGGCTCTTGACATTGCCTGTGAGATAACTCAGAAGGTAAGGGTCATTCTTAATCTGATCTTTCAAAGAAAGGAATTTCTTCATGAGCTCACGCTTCCCATCTAAAATTTACATGCCACAGTATATATTTGCAAAAAAAAAACACAAATGCAGATAATAACAAGTTTCTGCCAGGATCAGTGAACTTGCGTGAACGATTTCATCGAAAACAATAATAAGTGAAATAATAGAACTTGCAGGGTTCATTTCAATGAGATCACTTGTCTGGTGGCCTGGCCCTTAATCCACTCTGAACTTGGTTCTCGTTCTTCCAGGGTCCCTTGGGGATAAGGATGGCAAAGAAAGCTATCAATGATGGGACAGAGGTCGCTGACATGTCCCCGGCGCTGGCTATCGAAGGGGAGTGCTACGAGCAGCTGCTGCACACGCAGGATCGCCTTGAGGCCCTGGCTGCATTTGCCGAGAAGAGGAAACCTGTGTACACAGGAAAGTAGTATTAGAAGATTCTCAAAAAAAAAAAGGAAAGTTATTAGAAACGATGATAATCGTCCTGAGAGTCTGCTACAACTACAAGGATTGACTTGAGCGAGCCGGCGTGTTTAAGGAAGGGATGGATGTGCACTGGGCCTTGGAATTGGTACGGAAGAGTGAAGAGGCCCAACAGCCAATGTTTAACCTGGTTGTTCAGCTTAGACAGGGTGCATGGGCTACAAGGTTCGCGTCACGCTGTAGCCCGCGGCTGCGCCTGCGCGGTGGTTGGACTGGGTTGTTGGGTTGTTGTCACTTGTCAGCGTAGCCGCCGTAGCGGTTCCTGCTAGTACGGAGTACGGCGCTGCTGCTCCGGTTTTCCGCAAAGAGGGCAGCTGCAGCTTCGCCTCCGCCCGCCGGCGGCCGGCGTGCACGTGCTCCAGCTCATACTCACAGCCGGCCGTGGATCCTCCGGTCCCAACGACGTCTCATAGATTTGGGTCCAGGTGTTCAGCGCGGGCGCGGGGTGGGAGAGCTCAAGAGCTGCTCGGCGAGTATAATGCCTGTTGGTTTCGCTGAAATTGGGCTTACGCTGATTCTTGGTGTGCTGAAATTTGGCTTCTGCTGATTCGTGGTGAGACATCTTTGAAAAGTACTGTCAAAGTAGCGAGGAAGAACGGGACGAATATTGTGAAAACTCGTGAATCGTGCCTGATCCAAAGATGCCCGTTGCGTCTTTCTCCCTCCCTCTCTGCCCATCTCTACCTCTTACCTGACGCGGCGACACATCGTCACTGCCCAATCAGTGTCCCAGTATTACCTACTACAGTCCAGCTCTCCCAACATGCTCGGCCTCCGGCGCCTCCTCGCTGTCTCCGGCCGCCACACGCCGGAGGTCACCTCCGCCTCTGCGGCCTCCTCCCACAGCGCCGTCTTCTTTCGCGCCCTCCAAATCCTCGCCCAGCCGGGGCCCGTCCGCCTCCAGAAGCTCTCGGCTCCGGACACCGGTCTGTCTGTACTGCCCCACCCCCCCATCTCAACGAAATTTCGCATTTGCTTGTAGGGATTGTGTTTCCCAGCTGTGATTCGTTGGCTACAGGGATCGTGGAGCTGAGGTTGGAGCGGCCGGAGGCCAAGAACGCCATAGGGAAGGAGATGCTCCAGGGGCTGCGGAGCGCGATCCAGGAGGTGGAGGCCGACACGGCTGCAAACGTCGTCTTGGTGGCGAGCTCGGTGCCCAAGGTTTTCTGCGCGGGCGCCGATCTCAAGGTACCAGCTTCATTAGCTCTATTCTGGAAGTTTTATTTTGCTCATCACTACCCATTAGGGCCATGTTTAGTTCCCCTATTTTCCAGAATTCGGCACTATACAAAAAGAAGATTCCCCGTCACATCTAAACTTGCGATATATACATGGAGTACTAAATGTTGACGAAATCAAAAACTAATTGCACAGTTTGGTTGTACTTTGCGAGACGAGACAATTATTAACAAATAAAAACAAAACGACACTGTAGCTATAGTGTAGCTACAGTGATTCGGCCGGCGCCGAATCGGCCGAACTAAACGCGGCCTAGGATTCCTAGTTCGTGAGTTGTGTTGACACAGGGTATCTTTCAGTGGCAACAATTGCTTATTGCCAGTTTAGTTGCTATAGGTCTATAACACATACGCCTAGCTTCTTGTTTTCGTTGACATATTATTGCAATTTGGATGTCTATAACACATATGCTGACACGGACAGTGTTGAAGCTTCACGTAAATGTTAGAGGGGGCCATTAGTGCTAAAAGAGCTAGGTTAGCAATGTTTAAGCATGATTAAGTATAAAACTGCAAAGCAGTATGGGATTTTTTTTTGGGTGGGTGGGGTGGGGGGGAGGGGCTGACACTTTTGGCCTCAGTGAAGCTCTGCCGGTGGACACGGGTATTTTTGTGAGACTAATCTTGATTGCATTATTCCCCACACTTCCAAGTCATTGCTGATGGACTAGTTGCTCATATTATGTGCTGGGAGAATTCATTATCCTGGGAAGACAATTTGTGAAATATATGATCATTTTGATTTCAAAGAAAGAAAGAAATGATTGTAGGTGAAAAACTTTGGCTTGTTGAGTTTCTAGAGCACATAGAGGACTTTGGTATTCAAACGGTGAAACGGATATCAGAAAAAAAAAAGTATCAAAAAAATTAGGAACATTTTTGCATATTTTTATTGATAAATTGAGAAAAAAACAGAGTCAACAGGTCAGACTTATGCTCTATCAATAGGATGGTTGGTGATGAACTCCAAAGTTAGCATAAATGTACTACATTTGGAGTAATTTAAGTGGCTATGGCTCTTTGTGCACTGTTTACAGTCTTTCTTTATGAAGTATTTTGTTTGATTTGCTATTCAAGTGCTGGCCATTTGTTTATATTTGACCTTTGTATATCAGTTATAAAACTAAACCATGTATCCGTTTTACAGAAAATGACGGATGCAATGATGTACTGCATGTCCTTTATGTTGACAGGAAAGGAGATTGATGGGCCCTACTGAAGTTCGGGACTTCGTTAATTCCTTAAGGTCTACATTTTCATCCTTTGAGGTTTGTTGCGAAATAACAATATATTCTTCTATATCTATACAGTTGCTCTCAGATTTTTAGAAAATTAGGAAATCCATGGTGTTGAAAAGTGAAACTTTAGATAAAGCTACCCAGACCAATGTTCATGTCATATGCGTTCTCAATTGCATTTTAACTGACAGGTGTTGCATAAATCCTCCAATAGATGTAAATTTTTGTATCATGTTTAAGCAGGCACTGTCTATTCCTACAATTGCTGTTGTCGAAGGGGTTGCTTTCGGTGGCGGGTTAGAATTGGCTCTGTCATGTGATCTTCGCATATGTGGTAGTGATTTTAATCTGCATCAATCTTATGCTTATGGGAATAGATTTTTCTCATTTCTTTCACCAAATGAATCTTTTTTTTTCTTGTCAAAATGATGCAAGGCGAGGATGCAAAATTCAGTTTGCCAGAGACTGGCCTTGCTATTATTCCAGGGTATGTCACCAAGTCTGTTCTTTACTTTGTAAGCTCTTTTTTTTTTACATGCTGTTGATGTTTTCTCTCAAATGAAGTTGGAACTGCAGTAGCCATGTGAATTTAATTATAGCTACAAGTCAAACCTGTTCCTGCTATACAATTTTTTGCCTTAATGCATGCATTCCACCCTTCATAACATTGTTAAAAATTTCAGCCTTGATTCTGATTTTCTTGAAACATAAAGGCTGTTGTATTGATCATTATACTTGAGTGGCATATCACAGTGAAATTACCTTGAGAATTATTTGGAGGTCCACTTTCAAATGATATTTTCAGCTCTTGACATCCATTTGATACAATATACAGTGCTGGAGGAACACAGCGCCTTCCTAGGATTGTTGGAAGGTCAAGAGCAAAGGAACTAATATTCACTGGTCGCAGATTTGATGCAGTGGAAGCTGTAACTATGGGTCAGTTTAACATCTTGAGATTTGCTTCCTGCTGTCATGACTTCTTATTCCTCAAGGACACCTTTTATCACTTCTTAGAAGGGTTATGTATGCTCACATGGCAGGAGTTGTAAACTACTGTGTTCCTGCCGGCGAGGCTTATCAAAAGGCTCTTGAACTTGCGCGGGAGATAAACCAGAAAGTAAGAAACCGCTGAACAGACTACATGCTTTATTTGGCAGAAGAATCAGCAAAGTTATTGCCATCTGAGAATTCCCAGCAGATACTTTCTTTGTCTGTGTTCGTTAATTTGCTTCAATTGATTCATGCTTGTCGCAAGATCACTGCCCCATCATTGTAAATATTATGAACTTGGTTCTATATTTCAGGGCCCGGTAGCGGTAAAAATGGCTAAGAAGGCCATCAATCAAGGGGCAGAGGTAGACATGCCCTCGGCATTGGCTGTTGAAGAAGAATGCTACGAGCAAGTCTTGCACACTCAGGATCGTCTTGAAGGTCTAGCAGCATTTGCCGAGAAAAGAAAGCCTGTATATAAAGGGAAGTAGGGTTGTAGATGGCCTCAGATTCATAATAGAAGGTCACATTAACATGCCATCCCAATAATATTGGCATGATTGCATGATATGTGCAAATTCATGTATTTCTCTGTAACTTTCAGAAAATAAAATGCATCTGGTCTGCTACCTACGTATTTTGAAGTGAATTGGACTTCAGATAGACAGATTAGACCAGATTCTCCTGGGCTGAATGCAGTCCATTTCCCCTACAAATGTGGATCACAATCTCATACTCTCTAATCACTACTGATCAAAACAAGCCATCCCGCTGTGAGATTGTCCAAATTAGCATCAAGCTAATGCTTAATAGTTTGTAGCATGAACATGGAGTTACCCAATAGGAATTGCTGGCACCCGGAGGTCCGATGGGATATGATTCTGTCGGACGGTATCGAACATGCAGCAGAACGGCCCATCTAAAACACACCACATGATAAGAACACGAGCTCCATACATACGACCATGCTTGGAGATAGAGGCCGAGGAGATCAGCGAGGCTGTCCTAACCGAGAAGGAGGCCTGAAGCTCATCCGGTTCGAGTCACCAAGGTGGAGGCCCAAATCAAGTTCGAGCCCATCTCGGGTTTCAGGACCACTATGTCATAAAACTGGTCACACGGGCGCGTACGAGCTCTGTTTTCGACGATCCACATATAGATAGAAAGCTAATTAGATAAGGAAGCCAATGCAAGTGGTCTCACGTCAAAAGCCCTTCGGAATCAACGGGAATCGTCGAAACAAGTCAGCGTCCAGAATCTGTCAGGGTGCTGCGACACCGTCTTTTGGTCCGTTGAACCGTGTATCGTGTTTGGGTCCATTAGGGACGCGTCCAGGGGTGACACCCAAGACTCTATAATTAGTAGCCGTCGCTCTCCTTAGGGTTTGGAGTTTTGTTTAGTTCTTGATTTCTTTGTGAGACAGACGTCGTTTTGCTGCAACTGTGCCGCCAAAGTCGCTTGCTGTGAACCAGGGCCCCGGTTCTTGATCTTGTTCGCCTGTGTTGATTAGTCCTTTCGAACAAAGACTTGAACTCCTTCTCATTATCATAAGCCTCATATTTATTTGCAATTTCATATTGCGTTCATCCCTTTCTTGCTTGTGTTCTCGATTCGCTTGCAGGAAAGCCTTCTCGGCGAGGTCAATCGCGTTCGCGTGGTTGATAACCAACGGAGCAGTGGTGTAACGGTTGCAGGGGTCCGAATCAGTCTTGGTTTGAAGCCTAGATCGTGAACGTCGAGTCTCCACCAATCGACGCTATCGTACCTATCAGAAGATCGGGCCTTGTCTACATTAAAGTGATATCAGAGACCTTGTTGCCCGTTATGTATAACTTTGTTTTCCCTTTTAGATTGTTATTGTTTTTGCATTACCTATAGTCCACAAAAAGGCAAAAAAATATACACCGCCACATATGTCCTGTCCTATAGCCTCGTTGTGCCGTGTAATTTTGTCTCTGTTTCGCGTTGTTGAGTTTGTGTCCTAGGGCAAGTTGTGGTTGCTGGTTTTAGATCGTTTTTAGTCTAGTTTGTGTTTTCCCCTTTGTTTTTCATCATAATCCGTGAACACCTTCAAATCTTGTTGTGTTTCATTTGTATCCATCAAACCCTAATCCATACCATCTAATTTATTACACTTGTCTTCACTGTTTGCATCTATCCATAGCCGCCGCAACAAATTTTGCGCGCATTGTTCCCGTTTTGTCCTCTAATTCAGAGTCAGTTCTTAAAACTGGTCTAGTTTTCGCATATGAACTCGGATTTCGACGTTTTATATATCAAAATCGATCAGAAAATTTTTTTGGATCTGTCTGTTCCCCGCTTTGTCGGGTTTGAAATTTTTTATTTTGGCCAAAAACTAGTCACAAGATCATCTTTTCGTGGTCACAAGCTTTTTATCAATTTTGAGCACGTCTTCTGAATTTTCCACGGGCCACGCCTTTCACTTATTTAAGCTCATATTTTCTGTGGTTACTTTTTTATGCTCCTAAGTGAAGAAAAAATATCAAAAAAATAAAAAGAAAAAGTCAAAGAATCCCAAAAAACAACGACAGCCAAAAAATAGAGAAAAAAAGAGGGACAAAAGTGGAACAATATCCAGAGGAGCACATAGAGAGCACCATTTGAGCTGTGTTTGCGTGTGCTGATTTCTGCCTTGTTTCTAATCATATTCCTGCTGTTCACATCACTTGATACATCTGGTACTTGGAACGTGAGTAGGCCAGCAACTAAGACAAGTACTTAGGATACTTATTCAGCTTTGCTATTCAGTTGCGAATATTGCTATTCCTTGCTACTATATTGTGTCTGTCCACGCTCCACTTTCTTCTAACCAAGTGCAGGCTCGTCTTGCAACTGTTACACTTAAGCTACAACGGTATCACAGTCACCGACAGATTACACCGCCTGTTGCTTTGGTAAGAACACTTGTAAGACCATGGTAAGACTCCTGAGAGTGTGTGACTTTACTCCTTGACCACATCCTATAGTAGCTGATAGGAAAATACATTATTCTATATTTTCTTGTTTGATTCTAACAATGACAGGTTGTTCGTATCCACCGACTTATGATGGTATATGTGCTGATGAGTACATGGAGTGGGAAATTGACATAAATAACATATTTGCTACTCGCTTTATGTGTCTAAGGAGGAAGACAAAAAAATACAGCTAGTGTTTTACGATATTCTGCTTTATCTTGGTAGGAGTCTTTAGATCCTTCTGATAAACCTCAAACTTGGAATGATATGAAACTTCTTATGCGAGAAACCTTCGTTAACCCACCTTCTGTTTTGACTTCATATGCTGAGGTGCACTATTTAGAGGAAGAGTCTGTTGTTATTCCTTTTGCTATGACTAACCTTTTGCAGGATAATGTACATAAGCGAGAGGATGACATGGAAGAAAATGAGGAGCTCACACCCTCATATGCAAATTCAGAACCATCACTTCACAATGTACCTATTACTCCTGCTGAGAATATAGGTAATGCTCATGGTGCTACACTCACGAAAGGTGAGAATTGTTTTAATGTACTAAATTTTTCCACAAACCATGCTATCATAGAGCAATTGTTAGTGGAACCCTCTCTTGATTTATCTTTGTCCCATGATAATTTGCTTGATGTTCCTTATGATAAAGATGAATTGGTTGATGATGCTTCAGTTTTACATGTTTTGGAACCAATCATTTGTGCTGAAAATAAACATGTTATTCATATTGCTACTAAAATTGATAAGCTCAAACTGTTGTCTTATTTACATACTTTGGGTTATATTGAATTTGATGTTTTGTGTAACCTAGATTGTTTGGAGGAGAGCCTTTTTTAATATGTTGATTTGTCTTGGTTTTCTAAACACACATATCATGTTATTGGCAAATATAACAACAAAGGACAATATATGATACATCAAGTATATGTTCGTAATAATATGAATTCTCCTTTTATTGTACAAGATTATAATGTTTAGAGGGCAACCATAATATTACAAACATTTTCTCATGTTCCTCAAAAAAGCAAGTTCACTTCCAAGAAGGGGACCATTGTTGGTTGCTACCTATGTCTGCTAGACCATCTATTTCTGCATTATCTTTGGTTAGTTCTAATCTTTTGTAGGATAGTGTTGACATACATCGTGTGCATTCGGATCATGGTGTCCACATGCTTGCTGAAATTTTTATGCAAGATGACACACTAGAAACTTGGAAACATGGTCATGTTCCTTCTCATAATTATTTCAGTTCCCTTTGTCTTCGCAACCCCGTTCTCCATTGTGTTGTGTAGGATCAGTTTCAAGCACAATCGATCTGAGGACGCCTTTTCATCAAGAACGGGAGGATGATAAGAACATGAGCTCCATACATACGACCATGCTTGGAGATAGAGGCCGAGGAGATCAGCGAGGTTGTCCTAACCGAGAAGGAGGCTCGAAGCTCATCCGGTTCGAGTCACCAAGGTGAAGGCCCAAATCAAGTTCGAGCCTATCTCGGGTTCTAGGACTAGTATGTCATAAAACTGGTCACACGGACGCATACGGGCTCTGTTTTCGACGACCCACATCTGGATGGAAAGCTAATTAGATAAGGAAGCCAATGCAAGTGGTCTCACATCAAAAGCCCTTCGGGATCAACAGGAATCGTCAAAACAAGTCAGCGTCCAGAATATGTCAGGGTGCTGCGACACCGTCTTTTGGTCCGTTGGACCGTGTATCGTGTTTGGGCCCATTAGGGGCGCGTCTAGGGGGGTGACACCCAAGACTATAATTAGTAGCCTTCGCTCTCCTTAGGGTTTGGGGTTTGTTTAGTACTTGATTTCTTTGTGAAACAGACGTCATTTTGCTGCAACTGTGCCGCTAAGGTCGCTTGCTGTGAATGTGGCAGAACCTCCTAAATTATAGGACCCACATACATTTGTCACTGTCCAAAGACCTTTGACAACAATGCATATGTTCCTGGTAACTTAAGAAGTCTGTCGGGTGTCCTCGGGAAACCCGAATCATCCACGATTTCCGAAAGCGGGATCACATTACTGTAGTCATTGCAAGATTACAACAGTTTATTCAAATAAATACATCGAGTAAAAGTAGCGGAAGACTTACAATAACATAGTTTACAAACCATTTGTTTCAAACCATACAACTAAGTTCGATATTAATACAAACCAAAGTAGTGGAGCGGCATTATAATATAATACAAAACACACAATGAGGGCTGCTTACGCCTAAGGGCCACAAATTACTTCTCAACGCCATCACAAGGTTAAGCTTGTCATGCAAAGACGATCCAAAACAGATCCGCTCATGAGGCTCACCGCAACAAGGGTCAACGAACCACGAGTACAAAAGTACTCAACAAGACTTAACTGAAATAAGAATTGATAACTCAGAATTGAGCTCGAGGATTCAAGGTATGGTTTTAGCAATAATCAAAGTTATTTTGCGTAAAAGCTCTTTGACAAAATTCTTTGTTTCAACAGTTTAAACTTCATAAAATC